TTAATAATTCTCTGCAGGAGTGTCGAAATTTGAAATAAAAGTTTATTGAAGCCTACCTTAAGTATTTTTCCTGGGAAGAACGAATTTCACACAGTGTCACTAATCCTTCATAAGAAGTCATAAAATCGGGGTATACACCAAAAATATCTGCATCCAATGCACTAGCTACTCCTAAATTCTATATATTTGGCCACAAAAATTGTAAAAATTTTGTCGGCCACAAACACACACAGTTGAAATTTCCAAAAAATCGAGAGAGATAGAGCGAAAATTTCCAAATCACTAGGCTCAATGTTATTGGTAGATATATCTGCCAATCACAAACAAAACTTCAGAGAATTAATAGAAATATGAATTATTCCTATGATATACAATGGAATATGATTTAATTATACTTAATTATACCTATTTTACCTAACTAAAACTAACTATAAAGTAAAATGTCTTTAAATAAATTACTACAGCTCTCAGAGTCGAACTACACTTGGCAACTCTGCCAGCAATCAATCAGCTGTACTTCGGTACCGGCGTGATATGTAAAAGGCATTTTCCTTGTTTACAAGTACTTTTCCAATACAAATAACAATAATTTTGCACGTAGCTGTCACATTTCGTTTGGCATAATTTTTCAGTTGTCTATTTTCATAGGGCATAGCCTGCCTCGTTATGGAAATAATAATCATTATAAATACTCAGATATTTGGAATTAATAAAAAAATGAAAAATTTTACCCACATTTTAAAAAATTTAAAAATAAAGCAAATTCTTTTTAAGGATAGGTGTAGTTTTACAATTAATTACAATTTATTTTTGGCTTGGACTATGTCCAACAAAAAAAAAGTTCAAACAAAACTTGTGAAGGGCTTAACAGTGTATCTAAAAAGTGTATTTTCAACTACGGTTATATAGGCGAAATTTCGAAAAACCGACAATTCTCTGTAACACTATAACAGTTGCGCCCCCTAGCGGTGAAGTTACAAACTTGAAAATATTTTAAATCAATTTCTTTTGGCTGTATTTGTTAATAGATTTTATACCCCATAATCGTAGCACGTCTAGTTTCCAATATACAGCCGCTCGATACCATTAATGGATCACCCTGTATATATATACAGGGTGTTTCAGGAGGAGATGTACATACATCAGTATGTTATTCTACGTTCAATTTTAAACAAAAAATATTTCCTATGAACTTAGGTCTGGAAACGCTTCGTTTAGGATGTACAGGATGTTAAATTAAAAATAATTACATTTTCTTTAATAACTCTCGACTACTTTGAGTTAAATTCATGAAATTTTGTATCCAGAGGTTTCTCGGGACGGGAAGTTCAAATTTTATGGACTATTGGCTTTATCTCCCAGAGGGCACCACAAGCGACAGTAGAGTATGTTGGAGAGTTCTAATCCACCCCCCACCCCATTTTACCCCCCCACCACTTTTTTTGGCCCAGCCAATCAGAAGACGGAGAGTTCTAATCCGCCCCTCCCACTACTTTTCTCCCACCACTTGGCCCCGCCTCATTTTGGCCCAGCCTATAAGAAGACGGAGAGTTCTAATCCACTCTCCCACCCTTTACGCTCCCAAACTACAATGACTTTAAATTGAGCATTATTTTTAGTTTATTTTAAAATGTCGTACCAGGCAAGTATTTTCGATTTACCTGATCTTAAAATCGATATACCGAATACCTTGCCACCAGCATTTCAGAATAAAAATGATTGTGTAGTTATAGGTGAAAGAAAATTTCATTTAAACAAATCAAAAACCAAATTTGTGTCTATCGGATTATCATATGATTTTAATTATGAACCCTACGTAAAACTAAGTGGAAATAAATGTGATGCTTTAATGTTCAACAGAGAAGAATGGAAATGTTTTCTTGCATATCAAGGAATTATAACAAATTACTTCTATAACAATATTTCCATTGATCCCGTAGAAGACGAAAAATTTCATATAGAGTTTGTAGAAGTGCAAAATTCTCGAGTTGTAAAGATTTTGAAAAATAATTCTTACATATACCTGGGCTATGAAACTATATGCAATTTATGGGAATATATATCTATGATCGAGTATCGACTGGATATATTACAGAGATTACAGTTCCCCAATTACTTTATGATTGTACAAAAAGGGTTGCAGAGTCAAGCTGGAAATATAATTGAAAATGCAATGAATTTACTCCAACCGTCAAAAAATCGAAATAGTGAAAATGTCTCCATGATTATGGAATTAATTTATTTGTATCCAAAAGTATTTGAAGCTGAGTGTGGTCGTAATGAAGAAAGTTACATTTAATGAAAAAGAAAATAAAATACACATCCTTATAGCCTGGCCGTTTGCATATAATGAATCTAGGAAGAGATACTGGGAAAATTTTGCTAGTGATAGAGAGCGTTTCCAAAGAAAAATAGCTAAGCTGTCAAATATTATAAATCCTGTATTAGATAGTAGTCACAGACATAAAATATATATTAAAAGATTTTGTTAATGTGTTTCCTAATAAAAATGTATTGTTAGATTGCGTTTTATTGAAATGAAACAAATATTTATTATTTATATTTTATTAAAAATTAAACGGGTTACAAAAAGTATCAAATAAAAAATATACATTTGAAAGTGCACAAATACAATAATTTTCACAATGATAAAAGCATTTTGGTGTATGTTTTTGTAATGCAGGTTGCTCTGGTAGTTCAACTACTGGAATTTGAACAAACTTCCTGATGTACTTTGCCTTTTCCTTCCCTTTTACATAAATAGTATCAGTTGGATTGGGCATGTGTTGTAGAATATTTCCTAGCTTGTATAATGGTACGAATCCTTCGTTCCAGTCGAGTCCATGATGATTTTTTGTCAGCCATAGCGCACGCTTCTGAGACTGTGGTGACAACATATTGAACGGAAAGGGTGCTTTAAACAAGTAATGAAACATCTTCTCTCCATCAAAAGCAGCCAGTTCTTTAACGATAAATTTATTGTTTTCAATTTTGAATCCTTGAAAGTCTAATACTAATGTCATATTTTTAAGTTTTCCAACTGTTTCAACACATATATTTTTAAATAATATAAATCAATTTCTCTTCTTAATTGTTTAAGCTTTTCTATGAACTCTTGCAAGGCTTTTCTATATCTGAAGATCATCGTGTACTGTTCTTATATACACGTTGTTACGGTATAAAACCTGTTTAACCGGTTATTAAACCTGTCTAACAATTTTTGTCAGAGGATTATAGCGGAATAATCTGTCATGTAAAATTAAGCAGTACGCAGTAGTGTCTTTATCCACGTTTTCGCTTGTCTCAAATTCAATCCGCATTGCAACAGATCCACTTTGCACCGTCTCTTTCTGTCGAGAGCAATCTATATGCACAATCGGGCAAATAGATGAAAATTCGTCGGGTGTGTAAACAGGTTCTTTCGTTGTTTCATAGTAAGATGCTCGAAAATTTGAAAACATCTCATACAGAGAAGCAAGCTTCTTAGCCTTAAAATTTAAATAAAGATCTTGATATGGATATCTCTCGCTATTTAAAAATACTCGAATATTGGTCAAGTTAATGTTGTCAAACCAACTCATATCACTTGTAATTTTTTGTTTTCTATTATGCTGAAATGCGACGACTACGTGCCTGGGTGTTTCAAGCTTATTACNCTCCGAGTCTTGCTAGTCTTCGACATACAAAGTGCTCGTTAAATTGTCTAATTACCTTCAGTAATTAAAGAGTTGGATCGGAACTGAAACCGACATAGAAAGTTAGTGCAGTTTTTCGGAAAAGCCGAAAGGATTATACAGAGGATTACATAAAAAGTGGTTAGTAGAATTCCGCGATTTTTTTGTAATTAGTTTGAATAAGTTTAGTAACGTTCATTTTCATATACCTAGTACTCTTTTTTCTGCAGTCTGGTAGTTTGAATTTGTGTTCCTGGATAATCGTTGCAGAGATTATTCCAGTGATTTACTTTTACTTATTGTTGTTAGATTAATAGGTTTTAAACAGTGTTAATCTCCTTGTCATTTTTCTCTTATAGAAAAATATTATTTGTAGTTGTTTTAATATATTTGGTACCTTTTTTAAACTTGTTTTTCTTGAAGAAAAACCTTCCCAAGTTTTAATAATAATAATAAAAATTAAAAATTTTTTTTAAGTCGAAAATAAATTTTCGAAACAAGATTTTTGGATAATTTTTCAAAATAATTTTTTTTCTAACTCAAAATTTACTTTTCGCACATAACCTCACAAACATATTTTCTGAATAAAATTTATTTTTTAGTCAAACTTAGTTTTTTTTTCAAAAAACTTTTTGATAATAATTTTTTGAAAATTTTTTTTTATAAAAAATTTTAAATTCAAATAGGGACTTAGTCCTTTATTTCTCAAGGAAAATATTTTTTCCTAAATTGTTTTACCAACTTACCTTCCGGATCAGAAAGGATCCACAGTTATACATACCTGACCTAGATTTAAGAGGAATCCGGTTAGGAAACAAAAGTTTGTAGATTCACTTTAAAATTTACTGGCGCCTGACATAAATTCTTTTCAATTTTTTTTATTAACTTTAAATTCTTTTAATTATCTCCCACTTTCCTCAATTTTTCTAAATTTTGATATTGCTCGGGTATTACTTTCTTTACTTCGAACCTATCTCGGATGAGATAGACCCCAACACCTACGAACTCCACGACCCGCTCTAAACTGTATCGGCGTTTTTGTTAAGGTCACAGCGCTAGCCAAAGCTCAGATACCCCGTTCCGAGCCCCAACTAGTGTAAAGGAAACTGATAGCGTTGACATAACGACGCTACGTGGGGCTTGAAGTGGTTGTACGAGCCCAAGTTAGTGTTCAGAAGCGATAGCGTTGACATGACCCCCTGAACGTAGGGCTCGAATTAAATAATAATAAATAAAGTGACCTAAAATAAAAAGTAGTGCCGTAATTAAACCAAGGATTACGCGAGTGATACGAAATGTCGAAATCTAACGACGAAAGTATGAGACATGTCTCAATGGAACAGCTGGAAGATAAGGATAAGCCCCATCACTCCAGACTCCGAGATCTCTTTTAAGCCGAGAAAGCCGAGGAAGGACGAGGACCGTGACGTAACCTATATCTGTGGGCTTTCTATACGATGTCGAATTTATTTCGATTATTAAAATATTTGGTAATAAAAATGATTGGATTATCTTTAATGAAAACGAATGGAAAGATTTTTTAACTTACCAAGGAATAATAACAAATTATTTATACACCGGAGAAAACATGGAACCGATAGATGCTGGATTTTTTTCTATGGAGTTCAAGCAGCTACAATATTCAAATGTTGTAAAAATTTTGAAGGATAATATGTTTGTGTATCTCTCCTACGATACGATGTGCACTTTATGGAATTTATTACCACTTATTAAATACAGGATGGATTTGTTTAAGAATCAACAGTTCACGAGTTATTTCAAGATTGTAAGATCGGGATTGCAGAATATGAATGGTGATGTTATCATTAATGCTTTAAAAGTATTACAACCTCAAGAAAATCCCAACAGTGAGAATATTTGCATGGTTCTGGAATTTATTTACATGTATCCTGATATGTTTAAAAATGAATTTATAAAAGAACAATAAATTAATGTAAAGAAATTATGTGTATTATTATAGTATAGTAGATCGCATAATGAAGAAAGTTAGATTTAGTGATGAACCTGATAAAATTCATTTTATAGTTATGTGGCCTGAAGAGCATAGAATCGCGAGATTAAGGTACTGGGAGAATTGTGCAATCGACAGACACCGCTTCCATAGACGAATTCAGTTGACATCGAATGTTATTAGTCCTATTTTAGATAATAATCATAGATGTAAAATTTACAAAGAAAGATTTATGTAGTGTACCAACA